ACGCACTTGCATCCGTCGACCACACGGGAGAGGTACTTATATGTGACTATATTAAAATTGTAAAGATGCTTTAAAGAATAGCTAATGGTCTACAGATTTATTCATTCCAAGCACACACACGCACACGCACACACACACAAAATGAATTGATGAGTTTATACTACAACCACCACCACTACCCACTACCAACCATAAAAACAGCTCTGAACACCATCTGTTGAACCATGCTGAACAGCTCTGAACGCCACCTGTTGAACCATGCTGAACAGCTCTGAACACCACCTGTTGAACCATGCTGAACAGCTCTGAACAACACCTGTTGAACCATGCTGAGCCGCTATTAATAATTATATAATAGCTTTCTCTCGGCGCGCGCTGGCTGATCGGTTCGACCTGCCCTGATGACTATGCTCATCCACCCATCGATTCCACACACACACACACACGCGCAAATCGATTATTCAATACTACTACTACCACCACTAAAAAAAGAAAAAGAAAAAGAAAATCTTGGCGCGCGCTGGTTGATCGGTTCGACCTGCCCTGATGACTATGCTCATCCACCCATCAATTCCATACACGCATACGCACACTCACAAATGAATTATGAATAATTAATACTACCACCACTAAAAAAAAAAATCTAATATAATCGTAACTAAACTAATTTAAACGAACGAACTTACAACAAAGACCCACCACTACCAACAACAGCTCTCCCTTGGCGCGCGCTGGCTGATCGGTTCGACCTGCCCTACTGAATATGATTCGTTCATTTCTTCATTCATTTCACACACGCACAAATAAATATGAATGAATGATGGAATGAATAAATTACTACTAGTACCCCCATTAAAAAAAAAAAAAAAAAAAAAACTAACGAACGAACGAACGAACGAACTTACAACAAACCCCCACAACTACCACCAACACCACCAACAACAACAACAGCTCTCTCTTGGCGCGCGCTGGCCCCCCCGTTCGACCCCCCCCCTGGAGACTCGCTCCGCTCTCGACGTGAACAGCCCCCCCCCCGCACCACCCCCCCCCTCCGCCCCGACGCCGCCGCCGCCGCAAACTAACCCCCCCCCT